CGTCCTTGTCTCCCTTTTTTTGTTTCCTGTGGGACTGACTAAGGGGAAATGTATTTTTGTGAGGACATCCAGCCCTAGCAGGAGAATCAAACCAGGAGGTGACTCTCAACTACCACCACAGTGAGGAACTTCACTTTCTTGGTGGGAAACATTAATGCTGAAGCAAAAGCAGCTAAAATAGAGCACTAGGATACCTGAGCTTATACCTGAGTGCAGGATACCTGCACAAGAAAGTATTCAGCCTTGTATAGAAAGGATGAGAGGTTCACATCGTGCCTATCTTGGCATGATTTGCAGAGGAAGAGATCAGGCTGTCTGATCCCGTCTGGCGTGAGGATTTGTGAGCCTGCATGGAAGCCAACAGGCGTTTTTGCAGTGACTCCAACAGGGCTTGGATGGAGCTCCAAGTGGGCAGGTGTCCATTTTCAGTGAGAATCATGTCAAAACTTGCAGTGACTGGGAAAGTGACAGTGTTGACAGGAGTGGCCAAAACCTGAGCTGCCTGCCTTGCTCCTAGTACTTTTTTTCAGACTGGACCGGTCAGAAAGCACACCATTCTGCAAAACATGTTACTGCTTTGGCTTTTTCATTTACATCTGAATTAAAAAATAAAATAAAACCCTAAATTAATATAACAGACCACTAGATTTGATCAGTAAGGTTATTATGTTCTAGTAAATTAGAAACCCTTTGGTTTCTTTCCATAATTTTGTTTTGCAAGGGGTAACGTAGCAGTTTCTTCAGCAAATAAATAGATGTTGCAATATGATGGAAGCCATAGGACTGGAAAGGACCCTCTGGCTTGTCAAAATCCTTGGCATAATTTGTCATTTCGGTCAGATAAACCACACAAACAAAGTACAGGGCTAAAGGGGTAGTTCACAATTATCAACAGCAAATCTTTGTCGTTTTTTGCTTTGGAAGGAAGACTTGCTGCTGAGTGTGCGTGTATGTAATTTCAGTGCCATACTGAATTAGGGCCCTTTCAAGTGGACTTGCTGTTTGGCGATGAATTAAGACATACCCTAAAAATAGAAAACATGGTTTTAAGTGACAAAAATTAGCAGGGAGGACTTGGTCAGATGCAGTTTTGGAACTATTTTTAATTTTTTTCAACTCAATGCCAAGTTAACCATCCCTTTAAATTAATCAGAGCAGTCACAGTGTCCCTAGAATATCAGTGGAGAAATTGAAGCCCTGAATATAATTTTAATATTTCCTGAATTCTGGAGAGAGGCTAAAAAGCCAGCTTAAGAAAATTTTTACGTATGATGAGACACAAATTCCTGACCAAACTGGTTAAGCTGAAATGTCTGAAAGCGAAGAGCTATCCTGAAAGTGCTGGAAAGCTTCTGATTATAATGGAATCAGTGTCCCAGGGTATAATGCAGCTCTATATTTAATATTGAGCTACTGAACCGTACTTCTCAACCTAGCTCAACTCGCTGGGTTCTCATCAAAGTCCTGTAATGACTCTGTGCTCTGTTTAGATGCCAAGCAAGTCTTGAAATAGCTCCAGAGCTTTTTCAGCAGCTTCAGCTGCGTACAGACATTTGACTTTAGAAGGACAGCTAGTGCCTAGAGCTTGTGGCACGTAAATCCTTCCGTGTGTGTACTGCCACACTTGTTAATAACCCTACGAGCTTTTGTAAACCTAATTAAAAGGCTCTTGCACACTTACCTATGAAATCATGGCAACAGCGCTGAAGCAGCAAAGCAAAAGCCTGTCCTTTGTGCTGCAAATCCATGTTGCCTGTGTTAATGGTACATACACAACACGTTTAATTTGATGCCTGCTAGTGTTTGCCTGTTTGTTTTTATTACGATATTGACTGGAGTTCCCGTCGTGTTACTTATAGTCTGTGCACGTTACTCTTATCAGTATTTTTCTTTCTGTGTGTTGTTTAAGGTATTGACTTTGCCAAAGGGAAGAAAAAAGTGCATGCATCCACTTAAGCACACAAGTAGTTATATCAATTTCTGTCCATTAAATATACATACATGCATAAATATATGCATATACAGTGGTTGCAGGCTGTCGCAGGCATGGAATTAGGTGAGATTTGAAAAGCATGTTTGAGAGACCCTTTCCAACGTGGAGGTCCCATCCTCTGGGCAGGAGCAGCCCTCAGCCTGTGTAAGTCCTGCTGAGGATGGTGGGGCTCGATGCCAGTGTTGAAAAGACACTTTTCAAAGGCATTTGCAGATTTCTAGGCCACTTATTTAAATTGCCTAGAGTGAACTTTGTTTTCTAGAAAAGCATGCTTTTAAATCATTTTTTTTTCTTTCTGAAAATGTCTTAGTTTTGTTAATCTTTTGGACTTTGAAAAACTATTTCAGATTATTGGGTTTTGCAGTGTGTTTTCCCTTTACAACCCAGGCAATCAATTCCTGAGTATGAGCGGGAGGGTTATTGAGTAGTTCATCTAAATCAAAGATTTCAGCCAACCCAAAGATGCAGCAATCGTTTTGCTAAAGGTTTTGATATCGGTTTTGATCAAAGTTTGGAATATAGAGCACATATGGTTCCAACACTTCCAAATGAAACTTGAAGTTGAATCCTTGCAAATGTTCAGTGATTGATTTAGTTTAGAATTACAAAAGTGAATGTTAATACACGTGTGGTTTCTCTTTATTTACTGTTACTTAATTTACTGCCCCCCATTTCTACCATCCGTTTCTGTTTGATGATGGGTTCTTCCTGAGGTGTCTCTCTTACCCCGTGTTGTGTCCCTTCAGTCTCACCCTGGAATATCCTGTACAACAGAGAGTTACTTGCAGATGGACAATCTTATCTGAGCTGTCTCGTTGCCCTGGTGGATTCTGCTCGTGTCCTGCAGAGGCCTTTGACCTGCTCTCTTCTTTGAGTTGTGCAAAGTCATCCTTTCATACATCTTTAATACTTACCGTGAATTTCTGCTCAATTTTAATAAAACTGAAAAGAATGTCTGTCTCTTCATTTTCTTGTTTTCCAACCAGCATCTCTAATAAACTCAGTTAAATTGAAACAGAAGTATGGTTCAAATCAATAAGTTGAAACAGAATTTGTTTTCCAAATTTTTGTTTGTTTGTTTATTTTCCCTTGGTTAGCAGTATGTTATACTAAAGCATCTACTGTATGAAAAATTCAGAATATAAAAATGGACCATTTCTAATACGTTTGTTGAATTTTTGTCTTTCAGTCTATCCGAGAAGTCACAGGCTACGTTTTGGTGGCTTTGAATCAGTTTGAATACCTGCCACTGGAGAACCTGCGCATCGTTCGTGGGACGAAACTCTACGAAGAGCGATATGCTTTGGCGATATTTCTTAACTACAGAAAGGACGGGAACTTCGGACTCAGGGAACTTGGCTTGAAGAACTTGACGGGTAAGTGAAACTTGTGAATGGGATGGGTTAGTCACAAGGTAAAAAATGAACATGTTGAGTATTTGCCTCGGTGCCCTCAGTTACTTGCATTGTGCAAATAACAGAGGTGCCGCAAGAGGCTGGCAGTTGTACGTTGTTTGAGAGGCTCATTGGTACTTTCTTGCTTTTTTGGTTCACAACTGTGCTTTTCTCAAAAAGCTGATCAAAGGCTGTGTATGGAATTCGTGCCAAGAGCATATTCGAAACAGAAGTAGTTGTTGAAAGAGCAGATGAGCTTTCTCCTTCGTTTCAAGAACATGAGCATGTTGATTTCCTTGTGATCCTTGGTTATTGCATGTGTGTTGCTTCAGGTGTTCGATACTTTCTGCCAAGTTACCTTGGCTTTAGCATCCCCTCTGCCTCTGCTGTTGCTGCTGCCTGGTGCCATTGCCGCTGCACTGGGGGGAGAGGAAGGGGATGGGAGGGGGAGACTTGATCTTTAGTGTATTTAATCTTAGAACTCCCTTTTCTAAGCAAAAATAGTGTATTATATATTGTGAGAAACGTGCTTATTTTCTTGAGACAAAAATGTAAGCAAAGTCCATGGTTTTATGATCATCTGTAAATTGAGGGATGGATCATGATATGGGATAGACCAACGTTTCATTTCTTCCAACTGAGGATCTACAATCAGTGGTTTGTGAGATTAAAAATTGGCTAAATATCACTGGACTGTGATTTAATGAAGTACAGGCAGTGGCAAACTCTCCTTAGGGAGTTCACTGGAAGTATGTTATTTATACCTGGTTCCTCATCAGCTATGATCATTTCTACTTTTTTTAGCTTTGGTGAGTGTGAGATGACCTTATTTCTGCTAGTGGCTAAATGCTAACGGAAAATCTCCTCTGCATGTGGAGTCTGAACCTGAGTACAGAGAGGTGGGAGCCTTCTGAACTATTTTTAGGCACCCTTCACTCTCTGCTTTTCTCGTGTCACAGTATTCAGAGTCGCAGACAAGTGCTTGCAGTTCCCTGTTCAAGCCTCGCCACGCCATACAGCTAAGCTTTCAAAAAAAAAAAAAAGAGGGAAAAGGAGGCTTGAAATATTTTACAAAATAAAACAGTTTTGGCTGACTCTTCTGATCAGACTCTTTTTTCTGGTCATATTTTTAACAGTTTTCTTTACTGAGACCATCGTGGTGATATCAGAGTGCTTCCCAAGGTCTCTAAATCCCTGCCATCTACTACTCTTCTAGCATTGTCATAATTCAGTTCCCTCTTCTGTTCCCACGTTTCTTCCCATCCTTCTGATTTAGGGTGTTCATTGTGACTGTCTATGCCTTCACATAATGCAGAGCTATAGCATTGGGTAATAATAGTATTACCTGTTTCTTCATATATTTTTTCTTGTCTGAGGGTCTCCAAACGCTCTCTAAAAGACATTAGGCTGGGTGAAGCTGAGACAGAGAGGCGAGGTGAGGCCAAGGCCAGAGGAGGCTTGGAACCCTTTCCTCTTGAGTTTGAGGTGGACGTTCTGCCAGGAAGTGAGGGTTGTATTTTCAGTGCTTGTTTAGCCATGGCTTTGCTGCTCAGTAAGGTAAAAAAAACTTATCCTGTAGGCTCCAGCTCAAGATTTTCTTCTTGAACCAGCTGCCCTGTGCCAATAGATGGTTGATCTGACTCCAGAGATTCTCTCTGGAAGCTGCTTTTACACGATAGGCACAGAACCAAAACTGCTCAGCAAATAGCTTGACTTTCTTTTCAAGTGTCATAAGAAAACCTGCCTTAGCTCAGCCTCTGAATCTTTCCTAACATGAGGTCATCACAGCCACTTCATCTGATTTAGGTGTTTACAAAGCCCTCTAATGGGGTTATTTGGCTCCAAATGTATTGTTGTGTCTTGGAAGAAAAGTGTGCTAATAACACTAGCTTGTCCCCACTGCACACTTAGAATAGCTTCTGGGTGCTGAAGATGAGCCAGTGCATGCTTCCAAATACTCTTTAATATTTTCTGGATAGCATGTTCCAGGGCTTCGTGAATCTCTTCACCACCTGTTGGACCATTTTGTGTACTGGTTAAGATGCACCTGGCTATTTTAACCCACAGCCTGCTGCTTGTTGCAAATGCTCTCCCTGGAGCATATTAATAATTAAATTTCATAACAGCATTAGTAGCTGCATAAAAATAACTGGTGGATGTGGGAATTGGTGATGTTGCAAGGCTGTGATAGATCAGCTGTGTCTGAACCTGTCTTGTGTCCATCAACTGCTCCATATTTACATCAGAAGCAAGCACTGATTTGTTATTAAGATGAAGCAGCCCCTGTGAGCTTGCGTCCTTCAAACTTCCAGTCCACTGCAGACTTCAAGAGGTTGGCTTTGAATGGTGCATCTCTTCCACTTGAGTAAAATATAAACTTACCTCTTGCCTCGCACATGAAGAACTGTCTTTCCAGGGCTTATGCCTTGTCCACAGAAATTTGGAAAGTTCTGTTCTTATTTGTGCCGTGTCTGGATGATGGGATCCTGAGCGTATTTCTGCCCGGTACTGCACAACATGCAAATATAAACACTATTTCCTGTGTTAAATAAATGAGGAACCTACTCTCACCTGCAGATTATCCTTAGGTTTAGCCAGAGTCAGGGTATCAGCCTCCTGTGAAGTAGTACCATGGCATCATTTTCAGTGTGTTGTTAACAGCTGCGTTTTTATTGTCAGATATGTCTATCATGTTTTCATATTTAAATATAACTTTAAATGCTTGAATTTCCTCCCTTACGCTGTAAAAAAAAATGACAGCTATGAAGGCAGTAAGTTTTATCTTACACAGAAAACATGATCCAGTTCTCACTCGTGATGTCTGTCAGCCTGAAAGGGACTTTTCTTTGCCAGGACCACGTCCTAAAATTCATGTGACACTTGCAAAAAACCTTACCTATAAAAATCCTTCTCTCACTTGTTACAAAAACGTAGTCAATGGTTCCACAAAAGTGTCAAAAACAAATAGGCATTGAACTAATGAAGTGGCTGCTGCCATCTCAGCTGGGCTCATCTCAGCTTGCAGATGCAGCTGCCAAGCAGCCTGAAAGCAAGAAGGAAGGTTTGACACACTGAACGTATTATTGAGGCTGAGGTTAGCAGAAGAACTGACGCTGAGGGAGAAGGGATGCCTCCTTCTTCTGTTCATTGCCCGTGAGCTAGTGCAAATCACTCCTGTCTGCCCCAGGTAGCCAGGCAGTCAACCTTAACTTAGCCATGAAAGGGCATCATCATGGTCACACTGTGAGTGCTCCAGATTTAGAGAATACCTGATGGCTGTGTTTCATTACAGCATTTATCTTTAGTAGTGGGGAAAGAAGGATAACTCACACGTGCCAAAACCAGTTATGAAGGAGCCCAGATTTTCCTCGGAGTGAAGATGAATAAGAGGGATCTACAGCAAATGATGCATCTTTGGCTGAGCAGCGATAACCTCATCTCCCCTGTTGGCCCTGGGGACAGAGGCTCCCCTGCATGTGCCTGTGCAACCCTTCCATTCCTTTAATATATTAGAATGACATGGACTTAGCAGCGATTAGTTCAGTAACACAAAAAAAAACCAGCAAAATCTGTAGTTTCTGATTTG